GAAATACAATGAGATTCTAAAGGTAGAATTAAGAGAAAATTGAATTGAAAAAAAAATGTTTCACTTTCCCTAATATAAAGGGAATATTCCACAAATTAATATAATGAGATGAAATTTAATTTCATATTTAACAGAACTTGTATAATATTTATTTACCTTGCAATAATTACTCGCGTAATAATTGCGTATATATATATAGTCAAGGAAGACAGTCCTTTTCGGCACATATCGATAATAAGACTAATACACCACGTAGACGTGGAAATGTTCACGGCACGCATAATAAACATTCAGTCGTTGAATGAAACAGCTGTCAATCGCATCCGTTTTATACGTAGTTTCGTCGTCATGAAATTCCATATCTTGTGAAACTTAACATCGCGAAAGCGATGACTTGAGCTATTGCGTTCAAATCGCGCATATCCCAGCAAAGTTTCACACCCCGCCGTTTCATCTTATGTACAATACAGCTTCTCCTCGTATCTCGTCGGCTATATACATGCTAGCTCGCAATGTTCTGATGTCTTAGAGCTGAAAGTTATGCTGCGAATGATTGAGAGTATTCGTAGACATGGTATGCACCGGATGCGACGGCGCTGGTGTGTAGAGACTGTGATGCGAGTGCGACTTTGCTCTGGAGAGCTCGCTGTAGCGGTCCTGTTCGGGCGGAGCCACTAGGAGAACCGGTCTCAAGGATAGAGACTTGCGGGAGCCGGCCACGCTCTGGGCTTCGTTCACATAGCCCGGATTTACTTCACCTGAGACAAATGAAAAGAGTTGAAAAACACGCTCTTTTCCCGTTGAGCACGTAAAAACGAACGCAAACCAGAAAAAGTAATAACTGAAATCTTTTGGGAAATACAAATCTCTTCTTCGAAAGGATTGCTCGCTACTAATCACCTTTGTACAAGGATCCGTTGTTGAAAGGTTCCGGTTGCAGCCTCACGTGTCTAGAGGCCAAAATGAAGGCAAGAGCGGACAAGGTGGCCGCGTCTAGAGCCGCGATTGCGGCGAGCGGTATCGCCCATCTCACAGCGCAGGCACCGGGATTGTATCTGTCGAAAGAATAACGTTCTGAGTGCTGTCTCTCTCACGTTCATTATTGTCGCGATTACGTTCTTGCCATAAAAGGCAGCGCCGCTATTATTTATCACTTCGAAATCATGATTTGAGTGCGAAAGACGTGTCTAATTGAAGTAATTGAAGTTACGATATAAAACCTCTAAGTAGGTAAAAACTTCCTCGCTAACGTAGACTTTTTTAAATAAATATAGAATTTCTTCTTTTCAATATATTTTTATACCAGAAATTAATGAAAAGGTATTTTGTAAATACGCGATGTCTTCGCAAATTAAACGCCAAGTAAGTTGGTAATAAAATTCTACTTATTTATCGATTCTGCCTATTCTTGAGAGAATCGAGCAAATCTCTCCCGATTCGCTTCGATGGAGATGCGCGATTCGAATAGTTCACACACCTGGACGCAGCTGCACCGCATACCGCGCGGATCGCCGGCGAGTCCCAGCCGAGAGGATAGATGCACACTCCGATCGCCATGCAGATCGCTGAAAAGGAAGCATCCGGAATAATATTGTAGTTACATAAAAGTTGCACATCCAACTCTTTCTCCTCCTCGAGATTTAATTATACGGCGCGGAAGCGCGAAGAAAGTTTGACGAGAGGAACGTTCAAGTGGTCATTGCCAGGATTTATTACGGCGGGTCTAACGCACTCTAATGATACCTTATCCTTCTATCATTTGCATTCACACCGCAGTTAGATACGGCACGGGGCGTGGATCGCGCTCTCGCATTTACACAACCGTAATTGTGCAGGTGGCTACGCCGAGGCCGGTAGTGAAAGGGACTCGCCGTAATTTTTCTGCGACCCGCGGCTCCTACGGTTTACCAGCGAGCCGCGGCGATATTGTTTTCCCGGCGCGCGAGCGACTTGAATGCGCGAATCGCGCGCGGTGAAACGAGCGAGCTTACGATTGTCTTCGCCGAGCGCTCGGTTTCGATCACTCCTTTCTTCGATCTCATCGCACTCGGTGTTTATGTACTTTCTATCCCGTAATCCACCCGCGCGGTTCTCGCCTCTCTTCGTTCGCACTTGACAGACCTCCACGTTTGACTCGGCGACTTGCATCTCTTTACTCTAATGCTAATTCTGTTTGCCTTTGCCTGCTGCCTGTTATACAACATCCCGCGCGCGTTACTCTTTGTACTTTCTAATGATTTTGTAACGCATATCGCAATCTCCCTACGTACTCCAGGTTCGGAGAGTCCGCTCTGGATTGACGGTAAACGCTGCTATCACTGCTACGCGTGTCTCCTGTATAATACCTACAATTCACTTCATTCCTCACGGTGATACAGTTTCCTCCTCGTGCCTCACGCTACCGAGCGACTCGGCGAACGTGCGACTTTCACTGTCGTGACTCGATCCGATATGCGCAACGCTCGCTCGCGACGAATCTTTGTTGCTGACACCGCCGAAACTTTGTTACCAGACGCATTCAGGCTTACGTAAGTCACGCGTTCGCTCGTCGTTAAATAAATTACACGCTCGTCGACTCGTTAAGTCAGCATGCGGCGCACTTTTTGCGAATGGACTGCGTTACCGCGCACCGCCCAGAGTTTGTTCGTCGTTGTAAAAAAGTAAACGAGGAATTTACCTTATTTGCAAGAGGGTAACGCGCGGTTTGACAACTTAACTAATTAAACATGGAAATGGAGCAAGGCGCATAATTAAGAGATACCATGCTATGAATCATACATGCCTATCTTGTCGAGACTGCGACATCGTCGAAGGGGAGTAGGTCGCCGGGTTGCAAAACTAATTTGGATACCAATTAACGATCGGAGTTGAGGATGCAGCGAGATAAGGCGCCCCGATAGATTATTTCAGCGATTCGATATCGACTCGACCGGCGACTGCAGTCGGCTTGCGTTGATCATAGAGGCGTTGACGAACGGTATATGCAGACTGGCTTGGGCACGTTATAACGGTCTATTCTACATTTCGCTGGGACGCGCCACACGACTCGTCGGGCGACCCGCGGGCGACGATCAGCCGCGATTACAATTGCAAACGGAGAACCTTCGGGCGTCCGCGAGACGCTGGCGATTTTACGGCGGTGCATATCTCGAAGCGCGCCTGTGCGAAGCGAAAAAACGCTCCGCGATTTTCTCCAGCTACGCGGATTGTCGATAACGGGCTTGGAAATCGCGACGCGGAAACGCTTAAAGTTGTACGTGTGCCTGGACAACGCGAGCTATCTGGAGAAAGTATCAGAGTATTTAGTCCGAATCAACTGTATTCCAATTATAACTTCGGGCAAAACACAGTGGGCATCGATGAAGAAGTTTGACTGCGAAGTGTTTTTATAAACAGCCTTGGACAAAATTATTAGACACGCTCATTATATTGTGCTGACTCTAATACCAGCAACATTTCAACTGTCCAAGGGTTGGTTTTGCCAACCTCTTGGTAAACTAGCTAATAATTAAATTACATCTCTATCTTTGTTTAATTTGAAGGGAAAACAAAGACATATATAATTTACCTATTAGTTAATTTGCCAGGAGTTTGGAACAACCGGCCCTAAAGGCCAGTTTCACGAACGTCGGTTAACTACTAACCGAAGGTTAATTAATGTCTCTTCTTAGATAACAAGATAGAAAAAGAGTTGACTGAACTCTGGTTAACAGCTAAGCGACGTCTGTGAAATTGGCCCTGGGAATCGGTTTTTTCAACCTCTTGGTAAACTAATAATTAAATTGTATGCCTATCTTCGTAACACACACAAAATTTACATAGCACTATTGCAACAGCATATTCCTGAGACCAAATCAAGCCAAAAAGTCCTGTACTACTTTTCCCTCCGACAAACAGTTATCGAGATATCATAAGCTAAACATGGAAAAAGTTATAAATTTTCTCTTGAGCATCTCAAAAAGTATTGGACAAATCAAAAAATGTTTCAGACCAAAAGTTGTTCATATTAATTTGTAGAACAGGATAGTATAATAGACAATAGGGGGTTTCGTTTAAAAAATTAAAGGTGACCTTCACGTGACCTTCAAATAACTCTTCAAGGTCGAACCAATGGTACCATCTTATGTCCCCCTCGAAACCATACAACTTTTGTCTGAAACATTTTGATTTGCTGGGCTTAGTTTTTGAGATATTTTACTGTCCAAATTAAAATGGGATACACCCTGTGTATACAATTTAATTATTAGTTAATTTGCCAGGAGTTTGGAACAACAGGCCCTAAAAACTAAACAACGAAAAATCTCTTCTGGTATTACACGGAAAAAACAATGTAGCTGCTGTAGCTAAAACTTAGCAAAATAGGGACAGCTAATATTTTAGTTGTGATAGCTCAATATTTTGCTACTGTGCCTATCGTATTAGGTGCGACAGCAAACGGTTTGCTGTCGTAGCAAAATATTGAGCTATCACAACTAAAAATATTAGCTGTCCCTATTTTGCTAAGTTTTAGCTACAGCAGCTACATTGTTCTTTCCGTGTAGACTCAATACAGTATAATGATTATGAGAGCGCCTAATAATTTTATCCAAGGACAGCCTTACAGATATATACACGTATATATATTTTTAATTTTTTATTATTTTTAGAAGAGGCGGAGTCGTCCTTATATTTTCGTTATACGACGAAAAGATATATTGAAAAGAAAATAGTACACGCGTGAAACTGCCTAGTAACTCCTCTAACGATTCAGCCAACGTGAATGTTTCCGATGGCACGTCATCCATCAATGAAGCAGTAATTCTTGCATTATCATTATTGTTATTTCAGCCGCGTTGCGCAAGCAACGTTGGATTATTTCTGCGGTCACCGCGCGCTTTCTAACAGATTGAAACGATCAAAGCGACTTTATTCGCGAATAAATTGTTGCGTCGCGGGCAAGCGATGCTTTTTAATTATCTGGCACACATATTTAACGAGATCTCCCTGCCATCCGAGACTTTTGCGAAAGAGTTTTCTCGCGGGCGCGGGACCGTGACACGAGGGCAATTTCCGGCGAGGATCGGCGTCGTTTCGAAGCCGTTATCTCCGCCGTCGGAGATGAAACCGATCGATAGAGTCCGGCTACAATGAGAGGCGCGCTAAGCGGAGCGTTTGCGTCACTTCCCGGCGCCGCTTAACGCGAATGGGAGCGCCGGTCCGGCTAGGTTCGGCGCGGCGCATCGGCGAGATGCAATTTGCAAATTGCATCTGGCTGATAAGGAATTACGGCCGAGATTGCGGCAACCGGTCGCGAGAATCAGCTAATCCTGGCGCTTTCTAAAACAGATGACGCGCGCGCGCCAGTTGCGGAACGTCTCGCGCGACGACACTTGGCATTTAAAGATCGGCGTCTTTCCCAGGTGAGCTGGGACCGGATAATTACCTGACACCACTTGCATCCAGGCGCATATGTAGAACACGGTGGTGCTCTGGCAGAAGAAGAACATGAGCATCGCGCAGATCGCCAGTAGCGCGATTATCACCGCGATGCCGACTAGAATCGTGCTGGCTCGGAAAGGAACGTTGGCGATGCTCGACAGGTCGTCCAGTCGGCCGATACACTCCTCGCCTAGCTCACCTGACGTAATTACGTCTCGCATTAGTGGTATATTTTAATTATCAGACTCGGAGTGTGGACACGTTAACCACCAGAACATATGTCAAGGTATTAAGTGACTGTACGCAGTAAAATGCGTGAAATATGACATTACGTTGCTTTGGAAATTTAAGTGGATTACTTTCATTGTCCAATCAGAGATAATAACATAAGTTATTTCGACATACAGTTCGCAATTAAAAACAATTCTCCCTTTAATTCTTAAAGTATAAATACTACGTTACCTTGTACAATAAATTAAAATGGATTATTTTCATTGCCCAACCAAAGATAACAGGATAAATTATTTCGAGGTAATTTGCAATTGAAAACAATTCTCTCTTTAAATTCCGCAATTCCCTTTAGTTCCTGAAATATAAATCGCGGGGGAAACCGCTGGCCAAAATCTTGCACACCAATGCCCACTAATGGGCCTTACTTTATCTTATTTTATGTTATTTTATCTTTATAATACCCCAGCAAGGCCGAAAGCCCCAAACTAATGCCCCAAAACTGCCTAGTAATGCCCAGTAATGCGGCAAATCTGTACACCACACAATGCCCTCAGCGGTTTCCCCCTCGATATAAATATTACATTACTTTGTAAATTTAAGTGGATTATTTTCATTGCCCAATCAAAGATAATAAGATACATTACTTCGACATAGTTCGCAATTAAAAGCAGTTCTCTCTTTAATTCTTAAAATATAAACATTACGTTTCCTTGTAAATCAAAGTGGATTATTTTCATTGCCCAACCAAAGATAACAAGATAAATTATTTCGAGGCAATTTACAACTAAAAACACTTATCTCCTTAATTTTCGGAATTCTTTTTCTGAAATAAAATATTACGTTACTTTATAAATCGGAGATGGCAAGACTTCGGATTACTTGGAGTTAATTTGCAGTGGAACGGAAATCGGGAGAGAAAATTCTCCCCTTACGCATCGAGCGACGGTAAGTGTCGCAGTGCAAACGTACCGTTACCGCCGTAGCTGCACCTGGTCCACAGGCCGAATCTCCCGGGATTCTCGTGCTCGAGGTCGCCGAGCCATTCCGGGGTGACGAACGCGACGACGCCGATGATGGCGTAGCATATGGTGAATATACCCCAGAGCACGCCGATCGCCTTGGAATTGCGGATGTAATTGGTCGCGTACATGTGCGAGGACTCGACGTACTCGATCTTCGAGCCCATCTTGACGAGCCGATTCCCGGTCAACGCAAACCCGATGTCGTCCCGACCGCCGGCGCGACGTTTAACAGCGATTCCTCCACGCGCGGCCGTTCGACCATAACATCGACTCCCGCGAATCCCGCGCGCGGAACGGAGTAGCGCGACCGCGAGATCGAGTCGTCCGATTGAGTCTCTCGCCGGTTATCACACCCGCGGGAGAAGGTCGTCGCTCTTGGAACGACGTACCCCAACGCTGGTCCAATTGTTCGACGACAATGGAATCGCCGTGTGTAAGACACGCGCGCGCTCGCCGGAAACTTCCCGCGCGAACAAAGGACCCCGTACTTTCGCTAACGACACACAATCGCGACGCGATTTTGCTATTAAGTCCGCTCTTCCCTCGCGGAGTGGATTTTCCTCGAAATCGCTCTTTCTTCTTCGTTTCACAATAGAGACACGGGTCTCTTCCGTTCACTTCCCAGCCTGTCTCTTCATCGCCGGTCTTCCTCCCACTGCGTTTAAAACCAGCGAGAACCCTCGTCTCCGCGTCAAACCAACGTCCGTGACATTTACGTTCAGGCACGTTCACCAATCACCGAGTCGGCCTGGGGTATCTTTCCTCCGTTCGAGCAACGTGTCTCGAGACGCGGAAGAATGCGTGGAGGCGACCTGTTGACAGAACGGGTCTTTTCAAACAATCTATGTGGCCGAAATCTAATCCATCGTCTCCATTTCGAAATTACGTAAATCATCCAAATTATGCAAACGTGTTATATTTAAGGGGAATAATTGCGATTGTTGACGAATGACGTAAGATTAACGCAACGATGAGATCAGACGAAGTCTCTCTCGCCCGGCGAAGAAAGCCCAGCTTACCCGTTGACGTTCGCGGGGGCGACACTTCCCTGGGAATTCTAGAGAATACCCGGCCGAAAGGTCCAAAAGACACCAATGACGTCAACAACGTCAGGGCCTTGTCGGAATGCGCGAGGGGGAGAGAAATCGGAGCCAGGTGCAAAGATGCGGCGAGGTGCTACCGGCGCGATCGCTGATGCTTTGCTGCACGTCACGAGATATGTATTGCACATGTAGCGACGGCACACGCACGCGGCTGGTTGCAGGGCGACCGACTACGAGGACGAGCGGAAAATGCGACTCGGAGGAAAGACGAGGAGCGCGATACGACGGCGCGCCTCAAGATGGCCGTTCAGGTGAGCCCAGGTTGCCAGGTGAATGTGCGAGAGGAGGGACCGAGAAAGAGAGGGAGAAAGAGAGAGAGAGGAGGAGGAGGAGGACTGAGGGCAGAGAGAGAGAGAGAGAGAGGAGGCCGCCGTAAGGGGACCCCTCACGGATCCCGAACAGCCGTGAAGAGAAAGGTGACACCAAAAAGGTGGCACGCCGCTGCGCGCCGGCTTTGTCGGAACGGATTTCTCCGTGTGGGCATAACGGGTTTATTCGTCGGGGCAGTCACAAGTTACGAAGAATTATTTTCTCTGACTAAAAGAAATATGCATGTGCTTTTTCAATAATTAATCCGGTACATATAACATATTTGTACGCCTTATAAATGTATTATTTAATACATTTACATACCGATCGGTATTCGATGTATTTAATATTCTGGACAGTTTTACTTTATAAGTGAGATCGAGACGGAAGTAATTACGTATATGGAATATGTATATGGAACACGTATGCGTGTTTCGTTATCTCGAAAGATCTCGCAGAGATACACGTACACGCACCGGCATAAATGCTGTCCCTATCCTTGTGAGGTGCACGCACACAACTAGAGTCCCTGCAGTTGTGTGCGTGCACCTCACAAGGATAGGGACAGCATTTATGCCGGTGCGTGTACATACGCATGTGTGTAGAGGAGAGTGTCCCCTGTTATAAGAGATGCTAATATGAGATAGCGGGGCTTCTGTTACATTAATAGGCATATCATTTGATGGTTCCACCGTCAATTTACTGCCCTTTGAGCGAAATCTGTTTGGTGGAAAATTTATTGTTAGGTTGCGCGTGCAATTGTTACGTGAAAAGATTTGTGAAACTGAACGTGTCGAAAACTCGCTTTCTCACATTAGGAGCCTGTCTCATAATAGAGGACTTTCCTCTATTTTCTTTTCAAAACGCTTACATAGTATTGATAAAATCAGTAAAAAAAAATAAAATTATCGTACACTGACAAAATTATTTTGCACATCAAACAGTCTCGTTGAAATTGAGAGTTTTCAGGGCAAGACAATGCTAATATAATATTATATCTTTTAACAAAAGAAATTCTTGTCTCTTTCTCCGTAAAGTAACACATAAGATATAAAAAGATCTCAATTCTAAATTGTTATATTGTACGTTAGTGAAAATTGCCCAACGTTCCTTCTGTTTTTGAAATACATTTAGCCGCTTATCAACCGAGTCTGAAGCGCGCGCAATGCATTGCCGGCGAGTCGGCGTCCTCTGGCGACCGCCAAACCGAAGACTCGCAGCGAGATTCGGAGTAGAATTCGAAAATGGCAAACCGCACGGTGAAGGACGCTAAATCTGTTCGCGGAACGAATCCGCAATATTTAGTCGAGAAGATCATCAGATCTCGGATATACGATTCCAAATACTGGAAAGAGGAATGTTTCGCCTTGACAGCCGAACTGCTGGTCGACAAGGCAATGGAGTTGAGGTTAGTAAAAGCAAAATATAACCTCTCTGCAGTGGTTCCTTTCATCAATAGTTGCTCTCCTTTTACATGAAAACTCAGATAAATCTCACTTGTGACGTCATAACTCAGTTGAATGCATGTTCCTTTTGATTCTTGAGAAGTGAGATTCAACCAGATTTAACTGAGTCTTTGCACACGATCAAGACCGTGTGCTTTAGCGAGTTTAATAGACTCACATTAATGACGTTATATCTGAGTATAAAATACTCATATAACTGAGTGACTCAGTATCACTTGAGTGTAAAAGGAAAGCAGCTATTATCTCTCAGGCCCGGTCGTACCAGCGTCACGGAATTTTAACTGTAGCTTAACTCACTCTTCGTCTCTTTTTAATAGTTTCCCTTAGAAAGAGGCAAGAAGTGAGTTAAGTGACGTTGGTGCAACCGGGCATTTAACGAATACATTTGTACATACGAGAGTGGCAAGCTTTTCTCCAATTAATTGTGTCCCTTCAGATTTCTAGGAGGCGTTTACGGCGGCAACGTGAAGCCTACGCCGTTTCTCTGCCTCATATTAAAAATGCTGCAGATACAACCAGAGAAAGACATCATAGTTGAGTTTATAAAGAATGAAGAGTTCAAGTACGTCCGGGCTCTGGGCGCACTGTATATGAGATTGACCGGGTCCTCTCTGGACTGCTACAAATACCTCGAGCCGTTGTTCAACGACAACAGAAAGCTCAGAATACAGAACAAGCAAGGTGTATTCGAGCTCGTGCACATGGACGAGTTCATCGACAGTCTTCTCCGAGAGGAGAGAAGTTGCGACGTCATCTTACCGAGGATTCAGAAAAGACACGTTTTAGAGGAGAATAACGAGCTAGGTACGTTACTCGAGTACTTTCTGTAAGCTATTACTCTTATTTAGCCAGCTTTCTGTCATACGTTGATTCGCAGAGGCGAAGATATCGGCACTGGAAGACGATATGGACGATGGTATCGAGTCGTCGGAAGAAGAAGAGATTCCACCAATTAAAGAAATACCGCGCAAAAGGCCGGACGATCACGAACGGGAGAGGGATCGTCACAGGGACAGGGATAAGAGGCATTCCCGAACCGAGAAGAAGTCCGAAAAGGAAAAGCAAAGGTCGAGGAGTAGAGAGAGGGACAGAGATAGAGACAGGAGGGAACGTAAACGCAGCAAGTCGCCAAAGTCTCACTCGTCGTCGCACAAAGATAAGGAGAGGGACAGAGATCGCCATCGAAGGGACGACAGAGAGAGGGAGAGGGAACGCGAGAGAGAACGGGAGCGAGACCGTAGAAGAGAACGCGACAGAGCTAGACATTAGAGTGTAGCAACGTGCAAAAAGTCTGGGCGAATTTACATGAATTTACCGTCGAGTGGCGGACAAAACGATTGATAATCTTTACGTTAATTCCTTTCGCGCTCTCATATTCGTATACGTATATTTAGTGCCGGTACGCAACGTTTACAAGAATTCGGTATTAAAATTGCAACATGCAACCCGGAATGAGATCCGTTGTAACGTATTCGAATATATATACATTTTCATATTTGCGTTATATTACAATTGCTTTATTAAATAAAAAAATAGCGATATCGATTACCGATGCATAATGATGGACGAATAATAACCGTCTGCCTCTGGAAACTTACGACGAGAATGTTTTACTCTGGAATCACTCTCGATGCATCCTCAAAATTTGGTCGACAGATATTTCTATTTTATATATAACTTTCCCTATGTATTTTACAAAAACGAAACACTTGGCAATGTTTAAAATGTAGGCGAGTTCAGAATGAATAATCTCTCTTCCTCCTTCTTTATCCACTTCAACAGTTTGCTCACCGCCTCAATGGCGTCTGGTTTCGTTACCAGAGGCTCAAACGTTACGTATAACTCGAAACCAGAAGCCACCTAGAAATAATATTTGTTAAAATTGAGAGACAAGTCTCTCGCGAGAGATGTAATTGTACGCAAATTTCTGCTCACCCACGCTAACATCGTTTCCTTATCTAGCTGCTGAAATATAAGTTTCAAGGGCCGACTAGGAGAATGCAGTCTGTGATGCAAACACTGATAAAGCCCCAATAATCTGCACAGACATCACATGTTGGATATTTTTTATCACACCGATGTTGCATCGTCTATTAAAAAGTTGACATTTTACCGTTCTATCTCTTCGTCCGTTGTGTAAGGCGGTAGAAGCCCGGGACTCCAGAATTGCGCGGTACTCTTGCACTTGTACAGAACGTGCCGCATCTCGGGTAATCCGATGTCGGCGGTCGTTACCGTCGGTTTATTCATAGACTCGTTTATCGCTTCCAGACAATTTGTCCGTCGCAATTTCTCCACGATTTTCTACCAAATTCATCAACTTGTCAATAAATTGACATTTGTACGATTTCCCGTCAATTGATTTTAATTCCCCGCAACAACTCTTACTTGCTTGGCCTCTGACAGCACGAAAAATACGTCCCTATCGACGGTGAGCAGCAGTAAACATGCCTGACAATCTTCCGCCAGATACGACACGTGACCGTGCATGTATCCATTGGAATCGAACTTCGGTAGGCATATCGGCGTCCAGCTCTCAGCAGTTTTGAGCGATTCCGAACTGTCCACCAGATTTTGTATTATATGTAAATCCATTGGATGCAGGAAAAACTTATTCATCCTAACTAGTGTAACCAATTGATTGTTAGCTAGAAGTATGGCAAATACTAAGTTCTGAAAGATAGGTTCCTCTTAATAAAGCGGCATTTGAACGCATTTCGATCTCGCAAACGTACGCACACGACCCACAAGTATTTCGTACCTTGATCTTTGCGCAAGTCTGAATGATAGTCTGCGTGATGGAACTTCTCATGGAAGGAAGTAGCGGTAAACATTTGATGGCTCCCAGAAAGAAAGCGGGCTCTCTGTCCATAAAGTTCAACAAATGATCTATCAGTCTTTCGCTACCACTCAGTAACCTTCGTAGATCGAAGTTTCTCCTCTGATCGTACACTCTGTTTAACTGCGACTGCGTCAACACTGAGATTATCTGATTATATACATATCTGTAATTAAATATGAATGAGCATCCGTTATAAATATTAGGATACAATATCTTTTTTCCGTTTTATTAAAAATGCCAGATATGGTCAGGAAAAACACTCAAGTTGTTAATTACTGCTGGCGACATGGAGAATATTCTTGTTGGTTGACAACGTCCTTCTATCGAGAAGCGAGGACGTTGTGTGAAATGATACGTACGTTAGTTGCAAGGTGAGCTGAGGAACACTTTCCAAAGTCTTGGACACCGCCACTAAGATCAATGGACCCTTGACAACGAAAACAAAGTTTGTATCGCCGGCGTGCACCGATCTGATCATATCGCTACCAGCTTGGACAAACGACACCAAAGCCTGCATAACTCCCATAAGTGTGACTAGTTTGTCCTCCGAACTGTATCTGGAATATATCGGCTTCCCCGCCTGACTCAGGATAAAAATGTGCTTCTTCTGCGCCAGCCACGCTTTGCAGCGCAGCGGGTCGCCGTCTATGTTACTTTGGCACAGACGATGCGCGACGTCGTCCTAAAATGCAACGATTCGTCCGGTTTACGTTACAAACGGACGGGGCGATCGATCGGCGTGCGCCGTGAACTTATGAGGGAGGGAAAATAAGCAGACGAGATTCCATACAAAATCCTAACCATTTCCGCGTCGTCCAGGGGTAGGTTCTTCTCGGATTCCGGCGGACTGGCGGCGGTGGGTATCGTCGGAGCGTCCTGCGTCACGTCCTCCTGGATCTCGGAGATAGTGCTGGTCGTGCTCTCCTTCATCTGCCTGTCACCGTCGATGCTGCTGCTCATCTCCTGCTCGTACTCGTCGAAGCTGTCGGTGGTGACGAGCATGGTCTCCGTGGAGGCGCCGGGCTCGATCTCGGGCTCGGCTATGCCGCTGTCGATCGACTCGACGACGATCGGCTCCTTCGCAGCCATCTCCAACAAGAACGTCCCCCGGCAGGTCGCTACTCCGCGATCCCCGCTGGCGTTTGACATTTAACAGCGGCAGACCGAGACCGATCGACCGCCATTGCCCGTTAATTCGTCGTCGGACGCTAGGGTGCGCTGGTGCAGAGCTTATCCCGCTTATCCAGAGAGAAACAGCTGAGAGCGGCCATCCCGGGAAATTCCGTAAGGACGTAAAACGTAAGCGTAAGAAAATCAACAGATTGGATTTGCTACTGCTTGCGTTATTGCCTTACGTTCTCGACTGTGATTGGTCGATTTTCTTATGCTTACGTTTTACGTCCTTACGGAATTTTATGTGTGAAGGCCTTATACATATATGTATAACTTTTGCTAATTCTTCAGTATAGCTCCAGCGCCTCAAAAATTTAAAAAATTAGTTTCAATCGACGCGTTTTTACATAAAACTGAAGAATCTGGCAGAAAAAAAGTGTCGCTTTGCTCCGCGAAGCGAGATATTAATTGGTAAAGTTGACAACTTTTAAGGCGTTTTTTTTTGTAACAGACTGGTAACGATCGTTACCCTTAGGGTACTATTACATTTGTCGCACGACAAATTTTTCAAGCGTGTCGATTGGCCGCTGAATAAAAAGTTTCTAGATACTCGAGAATTTTACTATCCTTCAGCCAATCAATACGCTTAAAAACTTTGTCGTACGACAAATGTAATACCAGCCCAAAGGTGGGGCCCAATCGTGTATCGTATTGCCGTATCATATCATGATCGCCTTTTATCATGATACGCTGATTATGGCCGGTATTCATAGTCAATTCTTATCTCAAAATCATCTTAAGTGTTGTCTTAAGATGCTAATACGGCTCTGTGATTGGTTGAAAGCCCATTAAGAGCGTACTTAAGATAATCTTAAAAATAAGAACGGACTATGAATACCGGCCTATGATCATACGGCAACATACATACACGCGTCACGCGAGTCGGGCCGGTGGCGCACCGGCGCGGCGTGACGCGTGACGTAAGTTTCAAATAGCGCGCGAGTAACAGCGGACGCGACGACGAGGCGAGTGTTCGCCGGGTGCAGGTTGACCGGTCGCGACGTTTCTACGCGTGGTGTCCGACGACGACGACGACGACGGCGGCGGCGGCTCGCAGGATGGGTGTCACCGTGTAAGTAGGAAAATACTCCCGTCTCCGAAAATTGACGCGCGTACAAGAACCGGAGTCGCGCGTGTCGGCGCCTACGCCGGGAGCCGCGAGGAGGTTATGTGTCGCGCGCGTTGTCGCACCGCGGCGACGTCGGGGGCCGGCGATCGGCGACGCGCCCGTCCAGTCCTACGGTAGCGAAAGTAAAATGTCATGCGTGTGCCGTCGGTGCAGGCTGCAGCAGTACCCGATGATCGAGAACCGCACCGGGCCGCAGACGATCGAGTTCCTGACCAAGAGGATCGTCGCCCTCGGCGCCGTGCAGGTGGGACAGTTCCTGGTGGATTGCGAGACGTACATGTCGGTGCCGCAGCTCGGTAAGTACGCTTTTCCCTCCGCGGTTTGGCGTCGTTGGCGAGAACCTTCGCGGTGCCTTCGCGTTCGAGAGGCTCCGGCGTCAGCTAGTACGCGGCCGTCGACACAGATGGCCGTTCCTGGGCCGTTTGGAAGTGCGTTCCGCGACGGAACACGCCTCTTGTTATCTGCTGTTATTATTCGCAGTTTATTAGCCCTTTGAATGCATACGCGACGCTACAATGGAGCTATAGGCGACTTTATTTGCTCACTTTTTAATCTTGTACAGTCATATGTGGTAATTATATTTGGAAAACGGATCCTCGTGAACTCAATTTGCATTGATTTCTCGTAAATTGGCGAAAAAAAGCGTTTAAATAAAATATTGCTGACTCTTTGCACAGAGGGTCTATATTATATTTTACTCGTGTGCAATTTTTTGTGTAAATATGTAAATGAAATAAAATTGCCGTAGTTCAATTATTACCTTCACTCGCGCTTAGTTTTTCTACAAAACAAACTGCTACTTCGTTTGTACACGCACACTTCGTTTGTACCGCAGTGAAAGCGTTTTTTTTTTCAATATTTATGAGAAATTAATATAAATTAAGTTCACGGGGATCTGTTTTTCAAACGTAATTACATGTAATTGTACAAATATAAAGAGCGAAAATGAGCGAAACTTGGAAGACCTCGCGCAGCTAATTAGGGGGTTAATTTGTGTTAACGTGGGTATACAATTGCGGTGCGGAGCAGCAGACTCTCCGATCGCGTTTTGCAGCGTAGTTATTCGGTAGAGCTGGGCGTCCAACTCGTAGCGAGAGCAATCGATACTTTGAAGCCTTGCTTTTAAAGTTTTAGAAATCGGGCGGGGAAATTACTCGATGCCTCGAGAAATCGACATCGCTGTCCGAGTTTCCGTGTTGCCGAAGATCTCCAGGCGTTTCGGGAAACAGAAAATTTACAAGACTCCAAACAGTAATAGCGAATTCGATTGGTTGCACTGGTGCGCACTGAGTGCACACTAAGCCTCGTTCCCGGTCAATTCTTATATTTAAAGATCATCTTAAATACCTCCTGCAATTTTTCTTATCCAGAATAATGGTCTGTACAACATTTGCACGGATCATTTTTTGGCTAAATACTCTTTCAACATGTATTTAAGACAAAGTTAAATGTAAGAACTGACTATAAACAAGCCTTAGCGTGCACTCAGTGCGCAAGCAATCGAATTCGCTGTAAAGAGACAACGAGATCGTTCGCGTTACACAATTATCAAACGGTATTATACCGAAAATATAATGTAACTGGAAAGTTTGTTATCTATGCTTTTCTTAAAATTTCATCCGTGAAAATGGTTGTGTACAATTTAACGAAATTTTCAAGAGTAGGCACTCCGTGACGGTTTAAGCTGCCTCAAAACTTTTACGGAAAAACTTTCTCATTCCCGAGTGCGCGAGCAATTTAGAAATTTTATTTCCCGTGGATTTTGTACACTGAGAAAACTGTCCGATTAAATATAATCGGACAATCCTATTGCATAATAACAAACGGATAACAAATTGTACATTCGATGAAAAATATGATCGGGTCTTCGATCAAATTTCATCGGTAACTGCATCTCATCGGGTAAATTTTATCGGATGTATCCGTGATTTAATTGGCAAACGTAATCGGAAAAATTAACCGTCGGAAACACTAATTGGCTTATCCGAATGGAAATTTTTCTCAGCGTGGAGCCATCTCTCCCTACGCCGCTTGTGAAACGTTTACGAGGTTCAGGCAAATAACGTACTTGTCTCTCTCTTTTCTCACAATTTGTCTCTTCTTTTGGCGTTTATACATGGGTCTCTATACAAACACGCAAGTGTTGGTTCCGGAAGTGTCATTAGCGATTGCATATCCGATACACGTCATTCGTTATATCTAGAGAGGTGTAAACGCAAACGCCAACAAAATCGCTTAAGTACATACTTACACGTAACATAAATACACCGGTATATTGCCGGGGTCGAGGGGGTGCGTACATAATCCTCCCTCTTTACCAAAACAAAACCACCGTCGTCGCGTCGGCAAGATCCGCGCGTTTGTGCTACGTTATATTATTTTAATAATCAACGAACGTAATGGCCGATCTCCGAAATAAGTCAGAAGAGTTTTCTACTATTTAGTTGTTATTTTTTTTTTGGTGTTCTCGTTACGTCGAAGAGAAAGCGCAGGAGAATCGATACCCCACAATTCGATGGTGAGGATTCGAGAACTTCGTATATATTCGGCGAGAGAACCGACGCTCGCAAATCTTGTCTCACACCTCGCGCGGAAATAATCCCTTCTTATACGACATTACGCGCTCCGTCGCGTCGTTCGAGCTGATAGAGCAGTACAGTCTAAATATTAACCCTATGAAGGTACAAATACACACAGCTACATACCCCTAGGCGTCATTACAAAAATATTAAATCTAGCAAGCGAAGCTAAACGTGGCTCGTTATAGACAAGATCGGTGTATATATTTATTTCTCTTTGTCTATTCCGTTCTCTTCCCCTTCCTCCCCCCCCTCTTTCTCTCTCTCTCCTCCTTTCTCGCCCCTTCTCCTCATTGAAAATACGCCTCCGTAATTTTCTTATCCGTGACGATATAATATGCATATAAGATTTAATCATCTCAGCGACGGCCAGCGCTAATTCTCATTTAAATCATTTATTGTCGATAAATTGTATAGTGAATTTATTGTCGTTAAGTAGAATTATAACGTGATCCGTTACTCCCGCACGGAAAGCTTCCTCGCCCACGTCCAGATACACCGTGTATATCGCGTGTAATATATAAATTCGAATACCTTAGATCGAATCCCTATTTACTCTGTAATCTGATTGCGCTACGTCTTTCGAGTCGCTACACGCGGATTAAGACCTCAATCTCGAGTTACAGTCCTCGCCGATCTCTAACGTTTGCCATTATTGTTTTCTTTTTTCGCGCAGAAGGGATAAAGGGATAAATCTATATACGCGCGGCATATCTAAAAGCGGCCGTGTTCGTTATCCGCAATTACACGCACGCCCGCCAACGGAGTTTCCTCGCGCACGAGAGCACACACACACACACACACACACATACACACGTGGACACAACCGCGTATACGCGCGACACAGACATCTATTTTATCGGGGCTATCGTGATCCTAAACGAGAGTGCAGTAACGCGAAATCTGCGATCCGGAATTTCACTATTACCGCTACCTATTACGACAAATTTTCAATTCACGAGAGTGCACAGTGCAGATTTTCGTTTGATATAGTTTAACATACCTACAGGGAAAGGAGAGGAGATTTTTCGTTTTATTTTTTCTTCTTTTCCTATTACGTGGAAGAACTGACGCAATGTGGTCGTTGCGAATATTCAATATGCCACCCGGCAAGTGGTAAAGCTCGCTTGTTCGGCGCGGTATAACTAAGAACGAGATAATCTTATCTTTAACAATTTACGTAAAATCCGGAAGTTGATCGTATATATGTGTATATATATATATCCTACGTATACTCGTTTCACGAGCATTGCACCGCGTTAGAACTAATTACAGACGTTATCCAATACTGTTATCCAAGCCGTTGAGCATAAAATATATACGGTGCTTTGAAAATACATATACCATTGTAACGCGTTGTCCCTCGTCTTGAACATTCATGATCGCCAATTCGACAAATTATATACTTCCGTAGCTTAGACAATTTGATTATCTTTGTGGCAAAAATACGATTTGATCACCGAGGTTCAACGTCCCACGCGAGAGGATGGCTCTGGGGAAAAAAAGACAGCAGTCCATTTTGGGACCCACAATTAGTAATCCAATTATTTGGATTGTTCGTGACTCTAATCTTTTACGAATTTTACCCCGCGTAACTGAAAATCGCAATTAGCTATTCTATCTATATTCAAGATTCTTAAGTAATACTAATTAATTCTCTCAGTTCGTTCTGTCGATATTCAGTAACGCAAAGATAATTTTCACTCAAGAGGCACTTACCGGCAAAAAGAAACGGTCAAAATGTTTTCCAGAGCAGAAGTTACGAACAATTGAAACAATTCGATTGCTAATTGTGGGCCCCAAGATGGGTTGCTGACAGTCTTTTTTTTCTCAGACTGAAGAGTAATCGTGCCGAGAATTTGTCGCGATAAAGCATTAATTAGAATGCGCTGGTATATATTTTTTCAGGACACTCTATGTAACTATGGTTTTTTTTTCCTCGTATAGGAAGGAGCGCGTACTCGTTTCTTGTAGACAGTAATGCCGGTACCGAAATATTATATATTTCTTACGTGATATGTCGTTTCCCGAATTTACGATTTCGACGTTGGCAATATTATTTTTCTCGCGTATCATATACACGTGTCTTTTACATGTATAAAAAATGGAATGTATTTTGCGAATCGATATAGCTTGCGCAAACGCAGATTTTTCTCTTTCTCCCCCTCCCTCCGCGCGTCGATCGATCACTGTCTACAGAAATACGTGAAAATATTTAAGTACAGGGGATTTAATGCGCCTCCGCTGACTTTTATACACTTGGTTACGTATAGGATATGGCAGGGATATGACTCACGGGTACGATAGATAAATTACAGACGCGATTTCTGTTCTGCGGCACGCGCGACGAAAAATTTCCTCCTCATATCGGTACTTCAGTCTCTATCAAATCCGATTCGTCGTAGTAATACGTTCCTTTTTGTTTTCGCCCACGTTGTGTAGCCCCGGCATCAAAGATATTTCAAGGGAATTTTTCCCCGCGACGATTATCACAGATTTACTGTGATCCGCAAAGTGCAGTCAACCTGTGACAAATACTTCGTCGTAAATCTCTCCCTCTCTCTCTCGACGTTATTCTACAAACTATATAAAAATATAAAATACATACGTCATGGAGACTTTCGTCTAATCGCGACTTCGCCACACGAGTGGCCGCACTCTCGGGAAGTGCAGGAAATCGTCGAAAGCAGAAGACTCGGAGGAATAATGAAGATCAGTTGCACAGATGAGGGACTCGCGCCCTCGCACCCGCGGATATTTATAAGTATAGCTGCTTCCAACGTTACACGTATTACATATGCATAATTTCTTAATAAAGCTAACAGTGCCGAATTTCGCTCTACCGGCTTCGCGAAATTAGCAATTTGTGGTATTGTCGAGAATTTGTTTGTCGGCTATATATGTCGCGTCGTGTCGTCGCTAATTGCGTAAGTTCCACGAGCACGACGGAGACATATGTATATAATATACAATAACCAATGTACACAATACGCGTCTTATATGAAACATATGTAGATACATCTACAAATCGATATTGTCGTAGTTAAGTCATTGGCGCCTGTGCCACGCGACGAGGCCCCGATATTCCGAGTTTAGCAAAATTTACTATTTTGCACACGTCCGCGGAAAGTATCTCTACACACTATATATTGTCGTGTACCTTCCTAGTAAACGCGAATGCCCCAGCGACACGCGCCGCTTGGCTGTAAAAACATTTCGTTTCGTTATCTAGCGCTGACAATTTTCTCCCCCTCTCGAGGCTCGTCGCGATATCCTCGAAAGAAATGGTGCTCGAACACCATTAAACCGGCTGAAAAGATAGCGGCGGAAATTATTGCAAACTCATTGCATATTGACTACTTTACGGAAAGACTAGCTTGGCAGTCTACGAGCAGTCTATCGAGCCACCTAAGGACTCTCTGTTAATATCGTTTTACTCGTGGTATACGTAATTATACACATTGTTATTCGCGTAATGTATTGTCGCTTTCTCGCTTGGAAAGTGCGATAGTGTTGCCTCTTGACGCGAATGAGCTTTGAATATTATAGAAAATTTATTAGCGCAGAGTCTATTTCAACCTGATGAAAAGAACAGTCTCCGAAAACTAATATATAAAATAGGTAATACGACAAGCATGAAGTAGTTTACAGGTTACGATTTCAGATCTAATCTGACGCTAGTATATAGATATTATTTGGTATCGTTTTTGATCATCCTTTGCAAGTATTTGCAAGCATCTCGAAGAGATGCGATACTGAGTAGACAGCGCGAAGAATGGGCGTAACGATTTATCTCGTATAACGAATCAAAAATTAATCTAGTTCTGTAAGATGACTTCTAAAAGGAAAAGAGATATATCACGCTTCTTCTTTTTTTTAAAGAGAAGTTACGTAAGAGCAACTATTTAAAGCTCGATGATATAACTTCGTTATCAGTCGAGAAACGATTTACTTATTAAAGCCAGACATGAAGGCAATTTGTGACTCAATTACTCAATCAGTTTTCTTTGTATCTTTCTCTCTCGTTCTCTCTTTTTCCCACTCGGATATTCGTTTTTACGTCTTAATAAAGATATGTTATCGTTAAAAAGATATGAATCTGAGGAAGGGAATTTCTGTAATATCGATCTCTACTGCAGTGATAAATGTTGCGATCGACTTAACACAAAGATCTAAGCCAAATTGCCGAGTAGAAAATGCTTCCGCTCGTGAAACGCGGAAGACTGGCGACGGCCGATCGGCCGTACGCGCATTTCCGCTTGAGATCGTGAGCCGTGCGTATCGATGGACGGTCTGTCGACGAGTGAACCCCCGACCGCTCGTTTGCATCGCGTTTCTCTTCAGATCATAAGTAGCACGTCTTGTAGTAGATGAAGGCGACCGTGTCCTTGCCGAAAGTTCTGCATTCCCTCTCGTAGTGTACCTCGCCCGGTCCGTATCTACCGCCTCGCGGATACCTATCTAATCTCGACAGGCTCCTACAGAGCCTGAGATAATCGTCGTCGAAGGGCGACTCGTCCTCCTCCTCCTTCTCTGGGCGATACCTGTTACGTCGACGATAATTGTCGTCGAGTCTCTCCTCCCGCGTGCCGTCCCCACCGTGGGCGAACGGGAGATACGCGACGTCGTCGAGTTCCAAATCCGTTAGATCCTGCAGGCTCTTCGGATACGCGCGCCATCGTCCTCCCTCCGGGGAGCCGGCCGCTTGATCCTTGAAGTTGATGGTCTTGCTGCGCCGCGGCAGGGTCGAATAATACGGCCTCTCGTCTACGCCGTGATTGATGCCGTTTCTCAGAATCGGCTTGGAGACACACGGGCCACCTCTCGCGAGGTCCAGCTCTTGTCTCCAGGTGTCCGCCGCGTCGTAATCGGTTACCGCGTACTCGCGCCTCCTGGCGCGACGTGGTTCTATCTCGTTAAAACGACGAACGTAACTCGCGTCGGCTCGCGTTGGGTCCCGGGGATAAGTGCTATTGGAGTACGCCACGCGTTTCTTCTGGCCGTTCCTGCGCGGCCGCTCGTAATCGCGATTCTCGTGCTGGCGATGGTAAGGGTTCTCGCTTCTCGTTTCCCCATCGGCTCGCGGCGGAGGGTCGTTTCTGATCACGTCGCCGTTAACTCCGAGCACGTCGCGGCGTGGCGTTTCGTCGACCGAGCGGCGAATCGGTAGCAAACCGCGGGACTGCATGAAGCTCTCCACGTTCCTGCCGATCCTATTAGTCTTCTCGGCGAAGATGCCGCAGTAATCCGACAATTTGCGATGGGCGACGCGCCCAGGCGGCATCGCGATGCTGGAGGTCGCGATTGTCGGATCGCCGCGGTAGAGATCCCGCGGGTCGTGCTCGTTCGGATAAGCGCCTCCCGGTAAAGGCTTGTTCGCCTTCTCCAAGTTCGAGAGACCCCCCGTCAGCGAGGCCTTATACTACCGTGCTTGCGCATAATCCGGATTCATCTCGTCCAGCTGCTTGCCCTTCGTCTCGGGCACGCAGCAGACTACGAAGCACAGTCCGCAGACCGCCACGGCGGCGTAGAACCAAAAGGCTCCGTGTAGACCGAGGCTCTAAAACGACAAATTGAAATTTCTTATTCATTTCTTGCTGCGATCCCGAGTCGAAATTTTGCTACCACTTTGACACTTTTAAGGATAATTTACATCTACTTAGCTCATCTGTACACCTACATAGATCAGCAATAATCTATTTACTTTGACGATTTACTCCTCCCTTGAATCTTTAATTCTAAAAATTTACTTTAGCTCCTACTTAAAAGGACCCACTTTAATGCTAAATTGGCAAAAGTAGACATTTCCGACACTATCGGTTTTAAAGTAGGAGTCGATCTTCTACTTGCAGTTCGACCTCTTTTACTGTCTTAGGTTTAACATTAGGCCAAAATTTCGTCTCGGGATTACTCAAGTTATTAATTACAAGATTACGAAAGTTACTCATTATTTAATTGCTTCAACAAAATGTAACGTTCCTTCTTACGTATTTTCTCGCTTGAAACCTCACTTGTTATAAGAACTAGCAATAGTTTCTGAATTTAGTCCTGACAATCGAGGCAGCTTGTTAGTATCTTAAGAGAGAAAAAAAATGAAAATCCGCTCACCTGCTGGAAGTCCATAAAGAGCTTGATCCCGAAAAACGCGCAAAAGTAACTGAAGCTCGTGCTAATGCTGGAGCCGAGGCCGCGGTACTCCAGTGGAAATAGTTCGCCAATCAATAGCCAAGAAATTGGCGATATGCCCAGGGCGAGAGCGGTCGTGAACACGAGGACGCAGAGCAGCGGTATCCAGTCGTGCTGGCCCACCACCGCCGAGTCCACGTAGCCCAGATTTTGCGTTTGCGACACGTAATACGCGTAGCTGCCGAAACCGGCGAGCGCCAGCGACATGAAAACTGTACTGGCTATCAAAAGCGGCAGTCTGCCGACTATGTCGATCAGGAATCCTGCGGGCGACGCTTGGTTTAAATACGACAAACGATAGACCAATTTGTTTGATTCGCGGCACAATAATGCTATTCATTAGAATTGAATACACCGTCGAGTATTTACCTGACAGCAAAGCGGCCAACAGCTGTACAAATCCGATCGCTATGGTCGCCCCGTGAGGATTCATTCCGCCCAGGGTCTGACGAAAGATGAGTACCGCGTAGTAATTAAACGCATTCGCGCCGGAGAATCGCTGGAAGAACATCAGACCGCACGTGATAGCGATGGGTTTGTATAGCCTCGGTGTAAACATGCTGTTCTTGAAAGTCAGCTCGTACTGCTTAGCCCTCGAAGCCAGAATATTCGTTTTGATGACCTGAAGGCACACCGTTAACCACCGCGAGCTTATAGTAATGGTCGAATTTTCTCTCGTTGATCCGCGCCGAGAGCTCTGAGACGCACCTGCAGCTCGGGTCTTATATCGACGTGTTCTCCGCGCAGCCACTGCAAACTGTTTGCGGCCTCGTCGTCCTTGCCGTTTAGCACGAGGTACGACGGTGTCTCGGGTATAAAGAGAGTCCCCAAAAAGAGCATCGACGGCGCGACGGCCACTAGTAGCGCGCTTTGCCGCCAATTCAGATACGTGCCGGCTATGTACGACAGCAAGACACCAACGTGACCGAGCACCTTCAACATCGCCGACAAGCACCCGCGGATGCCCGGCATCGAGATTTCCGATATGTACACCTGTCGAGAGTGAAATTTGCTCGTACCGGGTAGATAGCGTAGAAATCAATCAAAGTCGAGCCTTTTTTTTACCTGCCCCACCATGGTGATGACCGAACAGCACAGCCCGCCGATGAAACTGGTGATGTACACCAACTCCAGACACGGCGCGACGCCCGTTAAGACCCAGGCTGCCGCCAGGGGCAAGGACGTCATGCGTAAGGCCAAACGGCGACCTCTCCGCATTATCCAGTCGCCGATCATGGCACCGAACCACGCGCCCAGCATGGACAGCGACGCGACCCACGAGGCTTCTTGTTGCGTAACCGAAAAGGCCAACCTGCCGACAAAGCGTGAATCGCGATTAGGATCGCGCGCGACGGCGTTGTAGCGTCTGGACGTAGCAATCCGGGCGTAATCCGCAGACGCGTCCGGGAAGACGCTCTCGATATATCGGGTATTGTTCCCCAGAGCGCCGGGGCAGACGTCAGGTGCAAACGTAATCGCTCTTGGCAGCCGCGTCTCGGCTGTCGAGTATTATTTGTGAACAGCTTCCCAGTAAAGTTCGCGTGTTGTCGCCGCAGTAGACGCATCCCGGAATTAGCAGCCAGGAACGTAACGCTCGAATAAGCTACAGCGCGTGGATATAATTGTCCACGTCCACTGTCGATGTTTCATTGAAACCCGATATTACTTAGGGCGGCCAATTTTTCCCCGTGCGAGGGCACACTCGAGTGCGTTTCTTTTTTCTTACATTTAAATATCGAACGTGTGCAGATCCTTACCACGTGTCATTGTTGGCCGATTGATAAAGATGGGGCGGTTGATTATCCAATATGGAGTCTAACGCGGGCGAGGTGTAACCCTTGGCCAAGCCGGAGGAGAGAGTCCCCATAGACAGTGCCAGGGTCGCCAGTACCTATCCAGATAAACAGGCATTGATGAACTCGCGCGTGAAAATGCTCCTTTTACGGTGAGAGCGCGAGAGAGAATTTATGCGGGAATTCACGCGGTGTAACAGACCGGTGCGAACGTCAACTTCGTTTATCTTACTCGTCGCCGGCCGACTGAAATTTACGCTGGTGTACTCCTTTTACCGCGTTCTTTGTGGACGCATACCGCTCTATAAAGATCATAGAGCCCGGCGCCGTCGAAAGGAGTCGTAACTCCCGCGGTGTGATCTACGCTCACCTCGCGGTGAGATATTTCTGTTTGCATTGCGCGCACGTTTTCAATTTAAAGGCATTTATCTCGATTCGCCACGTCCGCACTTTCGAAAATCTATCGACATAGAAACACGCGTCGGGATGCTCTCTTCTTTTTTCTTTCTTTCTTTCTTTGTCGAGTCGAATCTCCATCTCGTAACGCGCCTCGTAATCGAGAGGCATTCTGAATAGCGATGAAACTCTGTAACGCTAGGTATAAATCCGTCCGTCGCGCACCATGGTGCTCCAGTAATGCACGCACACATCCAGAGCGGATGCATCTGCGAATTTGTGCTGCCACGGGAGGGGGTGCAACCGGCGAACAAATTGCTAGCCGCAAATTGAAAGCTGGGCTCGGCCCCTCGCGAGGAATACTAAACATTTCGCGTGGCCCCGCATTTATGTGCATCCATATATATATTTGTATATGTATATACGTACATCTGCAACGTACACATATTCAATTTCAAAGTACCGCGACGCTATGTATGCATCCTTCGCGCGACGACGTACGCATGTAAGTCCCTCTCTCGCGTGTACTATCTGTGTGCGACCGCGGGCGCGTATCGCTTTCCTAGACAACGGTATAATTTTGCGAGGAATGATCTCGCGCGAGGAAAATTTCAGAGCGTGTGCAAGCATGAGGTCAGTACTCTACGGCGATTTTACAGCGACGGCGGCATCAGTGCTTCTTTTTCAATTCTTTTGACTCTTTTCACCGACTCATTAAACTGAAGTCCAAGTAATCCTATCTGGACGTCTTTGTCGCCGCATGCACGTTCAGCATCCGTGATGAGTGACGTAAGAATATCCGCGCGAGGTCTGTCTGTCTGTTGGTGCACGGCAGGTATCTTTATGCGGTACGTGTGCACTTTTTACGGTGCACGAATCTCCCAAGTCTAAACGCGACAACTTTATCGGTATCTCGATTGCCGTCTTTTCATCACTTTTTCCGAGATAAAATCGGCTAAATGAAAACGCTATTACGAAACAATGACGGTGGCACTTAAACGTGAAGCTAAAATATTACGCAATTTCCATTCGTTTATGCCGAGAGTGCGCCGCGATAAATCGGAAGATATCCGCTGTTCCTGAATTGTCGATTTTTCACCACAACATCAAAAATTTCTGCTTCGAAGGGACTTTCCTCCCCGTAACCTGGAGGCAACTTTAATTCGCGTTATTCTCCAGCCTATACTCGTTCGAACAGCTTGGTATCATTTATCTTGCCCCGCAAAATCCATAAAGCCGCGTTATACGATAGTCGTTATAAAAATTGGCCGATATTTCGTATTTAAACTCTGACCTTTTCTCGACGTGAATGTGTAATTTACAGCGAGTAATGCGAGCAACAAAGGTGCCGGTAGTTGGGTTTTAATCCACGATGACCTGTCGTAACTCATATTCGTAGCGAGCGGGACGACAAGGCGCGTATTCGATAAGGAATTTCAAGCGGCGGCGCCGCCGATCCCACATAAATTTGCATGCACTTTCAATTATCTCTCTCGCCATTAGGAGCAGCGAGCGTAAACGGTCATATTACGCGATTAGACGTGTCGCCATGTGTAACCTTTCTATCGTCTCGCCAGAGAGGCGCACGATATCGTCGTCTACCCTGGGCGACGATAATGCGTGGGTCGCCCCGAGCACCGCTTTGCTATTAGACCTCCTTTTCCTTCCTTCGTCTACGCCCGTTGGTCGAAAATTATAATGCAATCGGAAACATAATTTTGCGCGCCTTACCGATCAATTGCTACACGGTTTTAAAGTTTTGAGCCTGAGAGAACAAATTTACGACTGCACTCGCACTTTCCATGCGGCACGATCGAGATTTGTAATTACGATAGCACGTCGAGCTACAGTGACTCGCGAAACTGATCGAATCATATCATTGTTAGGAATTTCTTTTGGAAATTCGTAAACGAAGGTATCTGCAACGCGATAGATCTCTCCGAGGAGGGAAACCGCTGAGGGCGTTGTGGTGTACAGATTTGCGGCATTACTGGGCATTACTAGACATTTTTTGGGCATTAGGCCTTACTGGAGCAGATAAAATAAGATAATAAGATAAAGTAATGCCCACTGGGCATTAGTGGACATTGGTGTACAAGATTTTGGTCAGCGGTTTCTCCCTCGGATATTTCTTTATTTATACTCTGGGGAAAAAAGACAGCAACCCATTTTGGGGCCCACAATTAGTAATCGAATTATTTGGATTGTTCGTAACTCTACTCTGAAAATATTTTGACCGCTTTTTCGTGGTTAAGAAATTTAACATCTTAGACCCACTACTACAGTGGCTAGTTAGCTTAACTAGTTGTTAAATAGCGATGCCAATCACTGATACAAAATTCGGTGCCTAACTACAAAAAAACCGATCAAAATTTTTCCCGGACTAGAGTTACGAACAATCCAAATAATTCGATTGCTAATTGTGGGCCCCAAAATGGGTTGCTAACGTCTTTTTTTCCCAGAGTACGTTACGTCGATATTGAAAGATCGTTTTCGTCGAGTACCTTCTCAAAATTAATTATAACAAACACATGTTGCGTAATACAATTTGATCGGTTTAGCGAGTCGCCGCATAAGTTCGGCCGAGAGAATCCGTGCATCGTGAGACGAATTTACACTGTGCGCCTCGCGGATGAAAAGCAAATTGCACAGCTTTCGGATTTGTCGGCCATCAATCTGTCGTTATCTCCTTGATAAATTTTTCTCCCTAACCATGTCATCGATTTTGGGGGTGACTCGGGCAAACCGCGGAGAAAACACGTCGCGATGCCGTGAATCTTTAATTATTCGCACAATACGGTATGCGCGAGCGGCAACGGCGGTAATGGACATTACGAGCGCGCTCGCTCTCTTGGACTAATTATCGAGGCCGTGCGATGAATGGCGCATTGAGGAAAACGTTAGGCACGGTAACGAGCGCCGATACGTTTCCCGTTTCTTGGAGCGGTGGATGGAGAATTTGGAATATTAATTAACGGTTTACGAGACGCGTTTAGGGTGTACGAGTTGTGTTTATCTGCGCGAGCCGCCGCGACATCGCCCCGGCCGATGCCGATGCAGGCGAACGGTTTCTATAACGATCGCGCGCGCACGAGGGACTTTAACGAGCTAAAAAGGAACACGCACACCCTCTCGCGACGACAGCGTACTTCCCTCGCCGAACGTAAGAAATTCGCGCTCCGAAAACGCTTCTGGCGATATTATTTTTGGGCGATTTCTTCCTCGCGCACCCTTCTTTCGCTCTTCCTCCTTCTGCCTCGCCTCTCCCTCTCGCTCGCTCGCTCCCCGGACACGACGTTAAAAGCTCGTTTGCATCGAGCCGTGCGAAATACTCGGAGCGGTTCCGCGAGCGCGGGGGATGTGCGTCAGAGCGCCGGGTCGAAGTTAGCCGGGGGAGCCATTAGCTTAAAACTATTAGTCGGGCCGTGGGGTAAAGACGAGAGAGAAAGGGAGAGGAAAAACGAGCTTTAAAAGTCGTCTCCCGCTTATACGATTATGAGGATGGTCGGGCCCGGGATGCTGTGTTAAGTGCGCACCCGGTGTAACGGCGGCGGCGGCGCGGTCTCGTCTCCTGCCCTCCCGAAAGGCCGCCGTGCGCGCGATATCCATTTTAAACCGGACCACTCAATTACGCTCGCTGCTATCTTCGGTGTTTGCATATCAATATGGCTCCACGCCAAGGAGAAATAAAAGGATTCGTCGCACCACACCCGGCCGATTATTTCAGAACCGCCGTCCGCGCGAGAAAGAGCGCCGATGCCGGAGGGGCACAAATCGCCGGGGAATACCCGTTCGCGGAGTAAAAGTATCCGTTAATCGTTGTAGATCCGGTAGCTACGAGCCGCGAAAAGGACACCGGAGTCGCGCCTTCGATAGACCGTTCCTTAATTCTTACGTCTCCGACTAATCCCTCGAGACACGTGGCGTGTCGACGCGATAGTCATCTAAATTTCATTGAATTAATAGAAAGACGATCATTTATTGCTACGGAGCGTAAATTTAACGCGAACTAATGACAGCCTCTATTGATGATGTGATATACTTGTGACATGTGATGCGGCCTCGTCGCCGTCGACGTCATGTGTACCACGGAAGCCCTGGGCATTTTAAAATTGTCCTCGCCCTCGTCCGGTATCGTTGTTACCTGCAACAAAATGCAAATGACGATCAATATCACCGATAACTGAACCAGCGTCGAATTGGTTTTTTCTTTACTCTACCGCGCGCGGTTATTTTCCTCATTTCCGATCGCGCCATTTTTATACGCGTACACATTTTATTTCACTTCAACTTCTTTCTGAAACTGCCGGAGAACCGAAGGACTCACGGATAGTAATTCTCCTTGTCGCTGATGGAAGTACGACTGATATTTTCATCACGAAACTTTCTTTTCGCCGATAGCACACTTTCCCGCCCTTTCCCCTTCTCTCTCACTCTCTCTCTTCCAGTCTGCTGACCACGCAATCGTCAGCCGCCCTTTTGGGAACGAGAGTGGACCGTCAATCATTTGTATTATCTTACCGACTCGGACGCAAGTCGTCCGAGCCGAACGGCGTTTAAGAGACGCCGCTACTGTGAGAGCTGTCATCTCGGTTATCCCGTCAAGCTCGTTGGACCGAATAACGAAAAGATGTCTATGGCTTAGGGCGCATTAATTACACGGAAGTGCGAGACGATGTTGGCAGCCATCGCGTTGTGTTTCAGTCGTTTATTACCTAGCATTTTACGCGTTGACCGTTCGACGATAATCGTAATGCGTGACCCGCATATTGAGATATATATTGATCAACTTTGAGAGAGAGAGGGAGAGAGACGTGGAAATGAACGCGCGATAACCCGGGTTTACGCGTATCAGCTTTATTACGCTCGTTCGGATTTAACGATCGACGATCGTTATTGTTCCGAGACCTTCATCAATATGAACACGTCGACCTTAATACCGGCGAATTTCCTTTAGAGAATTCCCGAAGCGCTCGCTTCTCTTAAAAAGCTCACCCTAAAATTGCCCCGTTTCCATTAAACCGGAGCGGAGATGCTCTGCGTTAAGTCTCTCCCTCTCTTACACAGCTTTTACAACCTTTTTACAAATTACGGCGATTAATCAGCACGCGCCAACGCTGATGAATTAAATCACTCACTAAATTTAATTATAATTCCATAGTACGGTTCAATTATAGTTTGATTATAGGCTGCATATGAATACATTACGCTCGCGGACGACGACTGCCGCGATACGCCTGAGTAACCTTGAAACAGAAAATGTAGAGTCCAGGCGTCAAGTAGTCATTAAATCAGGCCGCCGTAAAATGACTGTCTGAATCATCGAGCGCTCTCTGCGATCGGATCTCTCTAGCCCGAAGGTATATCCTTTTCATTGTTTATTTGTGCGCACCGCGGACGGCGGCCGAGATAGATTTAGGCTCGGAGTCCGTCATTGTCCGCCGCTCGCGGCGCGTGTATTTAAGACGACATTAGATATCTCCAGCGACACCGTCCGATGTCGCGCGATCTCATGAGTTATACGGTCGTTCGTTCGCGCCTTTCGCGGGAACGGATTTACGACCGACTAGTTCTGCCTGACAAAATTTTGCAAGACGCTTCACGCCGAACGCCCGCGCGAAACGAGCTGTTTCACGAGCGCTAACAAGACACACCTATGCGTCTAGAAAAGAACTAGAGCTCACGTGACGGGACGTGCAGAGAATACTCTGAGGCTAATATTACATTTGTCGTACGCGTAGACATAATATATCTAGACCGAGCATTGCAACAATCGCATGCGAACAAGAGAGAACGAAATAGCACAAAACAGAGTTTGTCCTTTTCTACTTGAACCTCTACCCCCGCTGCTCAAATAAAGGTAAACGCTCGGTCTAGATATATTATGTCTGTGCCACTGAGAGACCCATTTTGTTGAATGAAACAAAATTCAGTTGACTCAAATCTTTCAGTTGATACAACAACAAAAATTTGGTCGGAAAATTTGGTTGAGTCAACATACGTTTAACGTTCTGTATACTTTTACCATCTTGGTGGAGAGAACAGACAAGTTCACGTATTTAATATAACACTTAACACAAGTAAATTTTAATGCAGAATTTAGTATAAAAAATAAAATTCCAAAACTTTTAATTGTTTTCGAAAATTAACGGTTGGGACGCAGTTTTGACCCCTTTGACGTCGATTCGACGTTAGTGTTCTGACTGTGTTCTATAGTTACACATAATTGTGTATAATTGTATAAAGTGCATGCACAGAATCCTTTTATAATATTCAACTAAACGATTTAGTTGACGCAACAAACACAATTATTTAGGACGTAATGAGATGGACGAATTTGTTATCTGAACCATAAAATTTTGCTCAAATAAACGACTCATGGAAACAAAATAGTTAGTTGTAACATTTAACTTCTTTTCAGCAACATATTTTTCGTTTTATACAACCAAATTACATGTTCAGTCAACAAAATGGTTCAATCAAATTATTTCGATTGGCTGCAGAATGGAAAAGTCCTCGAGTCTCTAGAGATTTTCTATTTTGCAGCCAATCTGGATACGCTTGACAAAATTTGTCGTACGACAAATGTAATGCGCCCTAATGCCGATTGAGACTCGGCAAGCTTTAAGCTTCTCAGACCTGCCCTTACTTGAGAAAGAAAATTACACTCTGTACAAACCAGGAAATTTTTTCCCGATACCGTTGATGTCTTCATAAACTGCGAGCATGTTTCAAATATCCTCTGACGAGCATATAATCGTTTTAGTTGGCATCAAGCGACGATGCGAGCTAATAGCGTAGTACATCAGCGAAAATCAATAAGGAAGCATAAGGCGACGGCGAACGACGCCGAATGTTTCCCACTTAATGCGAGAGTCTCCTGATTATTCATGCGAGCTACCCGATTTCTCTCCCCCCCCCCCTCCCCCGCGTAGTTCGCGGTTCCTTTTTACCCTCGCCGATCGAATATCCGATCAGTCTATTTCACTTTGTTCCCCTCTGCCTTTTCCACGTTGCAATCTCCCGCCCGCACGTGGGCGGGCATCGCCGGCGTGACGAATGAGTTAGCCGATTTTCAATAATCGACAAGATGGCAGATAAGTCTCCTAGAACCTAGCAAATGCGATTTCTCACGTTTCCTTCCTCCACCTAGATTCCACTCGCGGATTTATTTCCCCGAGTGTGCCCGGCGCGCTGTGGGCATCCCCCGGCAAATCGCGTCGCAAAATCAATATCTCGAGATACGCTAGGGAATTCCACGAGGACGATCACGTCGGAATAGAGTTTGCAGATAGTTGGCGAACCGCGCGGTGTGTAGCACTAACTTCCGCCCCGTTCGCAACGCCGTGAAAAACGTATCGCACGGAGGGAACGGGGGATGAGAATGGGAGGTACGGCGGGCTTTCTTTCGTATATGGAAAATACGCCCGCGAGAATGATTATCGCAGCGACACGCGAGATTTCTCTGTACGAATAATAATTTCACGCGGCAATAATGACAGTTATATTATACAGTTTATATAACATTTTCGTTGTTACGTTTCGGAATGGTAATGCAATATTCCATGGAATATCGGAATATCGATAAAAACTGGGCGCGAGTTCGCGAGCGTCGGCTCCGCAATTTATCTTTCCAAAGCGGAGCGGCGTAAAAACGTCGTTAAAACGCCTCGTACTATAAATTTCGCTTTGACCGCTCTTTTTCTTTGTAAATGCAGGACCAAAGATAACGAGAGTAAAACGGGGCCTTTTTGCATCGCCATCGTCGCGCGGCTAATTGAACGGCGAGCGCGATAAAAGCGCGAAAACGCGGCGCTCGCCGTCGCGCACGCGTTTCTGAATTTGTAATCCAACGCCGCTCGCATTTCCACCTCTACGGTGGAAACTGTGCTCGTCATTGATTAATTGGAATCGCGTTTGTACGGCGTGGAGACGGAAATCGCGGACGGAGTAATCCGGAAATTAATAAATCCCGCGCGCGAGATTCGCGGAAAACCCGTCGCGCTCCCGCGGCACATAGAGCCTAGAAACGTTTATAGCAACGTGCGCCGGGAAGGCTCGTGCGGCGGATCCTATGGATAGTGCACGGCGCTTAATAATAATTTCGTGCCGAGATTTAATAAGAGATGCCCCCGCCCTCGCCACGAAGAACCGCCGCGAGCTAAAAAGGGGGGGGTTGGCCGCTGCCGTTTCGAAATCGTTCCATCGCGCGTTCGTTCTCTTCGAGGGGGGGAAACGTAACTTAATTACTGATTTTTGTGATAAGCCGGGAAGCTCCGTGTGCCCCGGCCGACGAGAAATAAATGGGAGAGGGCGACCCTCTACGAGAGGAAATGCACACAGAATCGAGCCGCGTATAACCGCGCTATTAGAATTTTATCACTGCACCGCGCCGGGAACGAGCGGCGGAATAATAACGCGATATACGGGCTTAAGTGCACACTGCGGTGTACAACGGTATATAAACGTATATATGCCGCGGGAGCTAAGAAGGGGATCTTTTTAATCCCGCGATACTCTCTCTTCTTGCGCCAAAGTCTGCGCCCATCAACTTGACGTAATTAATTCTCGCCTTGGCAATTTAATAATTCCAGATTAAACTCTATGTACGAAGGCGATTTTTAACAAAAGATAAGAGCCCGGCATCCCCGTGATTGTACGCGCGACGAGTCGGCGCGGTAGCGAGCGAGCGAGCGCCGTCTACTCACCCGCGCCGGGGCGTATCACTTTCAGTGCAAACATCAAACAGAGACGTGATTAATCTGCACGCGACGTTTATGTGAACGTATTACGTGTCGCGCGTATCAGTGTGAGATAAAAGGTTTTGCGCTCTCGTATACGGTATCGACCCGACATTTCTTACCAAGACACCCGCGACGCTCAAGTCGCGGATGGCACCGCTCGTAACTGCACTAATTCACGTGCGACAATTACGGCAAATTATAACGGAATTGTGCAGCGGCGCGCTATGCGCCGCTGTGTCGGCATTTCTCGTTCCACTCACGTATCCCTTTTGCGAAGAGAGAAAGAGAGAGGGAGGGAGAATAAGTTCTAAATAAATTATTATTACCATCTTTTATCGCGAAATTAATCGTTGCACCGTAAACAGAATTCTTGATCTTTTAATGGAATAATCTGGCAATC